TATTTGGATACAATGTATAGACGTATCGGCTGTAACACATAATTTTTTGGTTTTCCCGAGATAATGATTATATTATATCATTGTATATTATTTTTTAATTATTTGTAATATAATGATAAGAACTGGAAAGTGGAGTAAAATCTATATAAAAAAAAATATTCAACTGAATATTCCGTCATAGATAATTTAGTCATTTAGCTATATTATTGTCGATTTGAATAAATATCACGCTAAATTTTTTAAAATATTCGTATATTAAAAGCGCCCCTAAAAAAGTAGCGCCTCGGGCATCCACCCGGTTCGCCCGTATCTCGGGCCGGAACTGGTTATATCAAATAAAATGTTCTTAATTTACCTATTAATTAATTATCAAGTATTGCAATTTTAAATAATTTGATTCTGTATAAATATCAATAATAGATATGTAAAAATAGTTATTTCTTAATTAAATTACACATAAAATACATATTATGTATTCCCTTTATTGTACATGTACGGCGTAGAATATTTACATTATCTTTTAATTGGAATAAAGAGTATTACCTTAGGATGAATAACCTTTGTTCATTGTTAATTAAATATCACAGTAAAACAACTAGTTATATTTGAACATTACATAAATACTCAGTTAAAAATATCTATGAATACAATTAAAACTTGGCAAAATTATATTGTACTTAGTCAGTATTATCATCATGACAATTTCTTGGCGGCAAAATCATTATAGGTACTGTAATTCGTAATTTGTCAACTCAATAACTTAACAAAGAAGTTACCATTCCGAATTTCAAAACTAAACATTTTAGATTAATGTTAAATGTCGTAATATTAATTTATTATAAAACGTATATTTCAAGAACACCGTATTTTCTTCTTGCTTGTATCTTATAAAGACATATTTATTTGATATATTTTGAAATAAAAAAAAACTAATTGCTGATGTATTAATCAAATAAATTATAAAATAATTAAGTGTTAAAACAAATTAAAGGTTCAGTTAGCATACTTGTTCTTTTGAAATCGATCAATTATTTATGAATTTAACTTTTAAGTATATACATTTGCATCAATATCTACGAGGACACGTAGGAGTTAACTTGAAGTTCAATTCAAAAAGTGTCTAAATAAAATAAGTTGTTTATTATATAGTGCGAGACAATATGATTTTCTTTTGTGTAATTCTATATCTACTACGTGTCTGTGGCGTATAGGCATATAGTCAAATCAAGCATTTGACATTAATGCTTAGGCATTTAGTTAAAGAATTTGATGTTTATGCAATTTTGTATTATTTAAAAAATTCAAATATATTTTCTATCAGTCATTTATTGCTATTTTATGTATAAAAAAACTATATATTATTTATTAATATGAAAAACACGTTGGTATATGAAATAATAATATAATAATTATGTGAAATAATATGTTTAATTTCGTATTCACTATTACTATTGTTTTAAAAATGAAATCATAAAAATAAATAAAAAAGTTATATTATAATAACAAGTTTTTGTTACCTATATTAATTGTTGTCACATGTTGTTATTTGGTGGAATTTGCTGGAACATTTGAGATTTTTCTTAAAACATTTCAAGCACATATGAAGATCATTTACAAATACCTATATTTTTTAAGAATTAATTAAGGAATCTTACACTGAACATATTGAATTTAATAGTGATCGCGCTCTAATGAGTGGGCTAAAATTCACTAAGAACAAATTGCTTTAAATGTTGATAAAAATATTTATGGTGTCAAGAAGTTTAAAAATGTAAAACAAGATTTTCCATAAGTTGTTGAAACCTAAATATTTCAAAAATACATATGTACGGTTTTATATACTCGTAAACTAACCATAACAATCAAATTGGTTCTTAAATATCAAAAGACAGGTAGTTAATATTTTACCCTAAGTATCTTTTAATTGACTCGCAAGAATTACCCATCTATTGAATTTGCTCCCTACAATTTATTTAAAAAATATATTGACTGTCAAAATGTTATTAACGATTTAAAGTTAGACTACGTTATTTCCTGTAATAGTTAATGTCAATCACACTCGAGATAACCGAATGAGTTTATAGTATGATTCTTAATTTTAACACATAGCTTACGGTATCACGTCCGTTGTATGTGTTTGCTGAGAATTGTATAATATCTTGATACTTTTTTTTTCACACATATTTTTTATTAAATATAGAACACAAATCTCACAATAGTGAAGAGAAAATAAAAGCTGAACAATAATTAAACATTTAAAACACAAATAAATATTAATAAATATAAACTGAGTGGGTGGTTATTTATTTTTTGTTTCATAATTACATTATAATAAATAATAAGTTTAAAAAATAGTATATGAATTTTTCGTCGTGGCTTCTTTTTGTTGGCTAATATTTTTAAAACCTTGAAATTACACCAATGTCATAGTTTTRAACTTCATCTCCTAAAAATTGTTTTTATTTCTAATTTTTTTCTGGTGTGGTTTTATTATATTTATGTCTTAGTTTTTCCAACAATTATAGTATCAGCATGAATGCTATAATAAAATATATTTAAAAATGTAATATATTTGGATATAGTAAATTAAGTCGTGAATACATGTTGGAAAGGAAAGATTTACACAAGTTAATAATTGTACGTTAATGTTATTGCGTTTTTCTACTCAAATTTCAAGTGGAAATATTAAATCACTGTCAATGTATAATTTTCTGCTAATCAGTAAATTAGTTTCATAAATTGTATTTAACTAATTTATCGGAAGAAACAATTCCGACTGATTATAGTATTGTAGTAAAAGTAAACTTTTATCCATACCTATGAATTATGATATAAAAAATTAAGAACCCCTTGTATTATATTTTATGTTTTTGGAAGCTTTTTAAAATACTCATTTTTCGGAAGCCAATATTCAAGGGTCGACTTTATATTTCTCAAAATTTGGAGCCAATTTGCCCTCGAAACCTTTACAGTATACAAGAATTACTTACGTCATAATTTATTTTAATATATAAATAGGCAATATGTTGTTGTATCATATTGTTTCCATAATATTTTTAATTTTTACTACTACCTAATTAACAAAATAAGCCATGTAATTATTATGAACAAGATACCTATCATTGCTACATAAAAATAGAAATTATTTTTATATTTTTGTTGACAGTCGTGTGTCAAAAGTCGACACAAGTAAAGACTCACTATCAGGTTATGTGTAAAGAGTACATATTGTATTCTATAGTCATAGAACAACATTTTACGCAAGTAATCGAGCGATGAAGGGCCTTCTACAATTTTTTTTTTTTGTCACGGTTATTTTAATGTTTAGTTACGCTTCTTGTGAAATCATTGGTACTTCTATAAAATAAATTAAGTGATATTAATAATAAATGCAGATAAACGTGTGAAGTTAAATTATTAGGTATGTACTTATATTATAGTGTTTATATCATCATTCATCAACCATATTGAAAGTTAATAAAATGTAAATTATGTATAAAACAGGTTAGTTTATTAAAATATATTTTTGAATAGGTTCTAAACATATTCAATTCAAAGTAATTATCAAAAACCTCATAAAATTTAATTTATTCAGTTAAATTAAAATATTAATCTGCATCTATTTGAAAATAGGAAAATAATGTTAGATTTGAAATTACTAAACATAATATACAGAATGTATATTTTTACGATGTATAATATCTAACACGAATTAAGTTCACGTACTTAATAGACATTGAAAAGAAAAATGAATCAAGTTATTAGTTAATTTATTTGAAATAATGAAATATCAAAATAAAAGTAAAATCAAAACACAAAATTCAGCAAATAATAAATTAATAACCACTATATGATTCTATTTTTGTTATATTTTACAAATATAAAACAAACAGTATTAAAAATAAGAACAGATTTTATCAAAATGTATGTGTTAATCAGTTATTTTTATAAGTAAATTTATTTTATAAATTTTATTGCTATAAATTTATCAGTGTTGGTAATATTCTTTTTAAAAACGGAAAGAATCTGTTGCAATCTTTATTATACTTATAAATTTTTATTACTTCTCATAGTTATAAAAACTTACTACTAAATAATAATAATGGAATATAAACGTATACTAGTAATTTTCTTCTTTAATAGTTAAATAATAATTTTTTTTTATAGCTTATGTGTCGGAGCTCAATTCTATTCTGGCGAAAAAGGGAGCAGTAAGTACCCGTTTAAATAATATTAGATATATAAACACTATTTAAAATTAATTAATTAATATTAATTAATATTTGACAAACAGTTTAGTACCATGTTATCAAAAAGTCAAAAATATTTACCTAAAACAATTTACATTGATTTAGTTATTTATTAAATTAATTTTTTTAATTTTTCGTGAAAAATAATAAGATAAAATGTTTAAATATATTATACATCTTACCTACTTATCTAACCTACTAAATATGTAACTTTAACATAAATATATTTCTGTTGTATTGCCAATAACCTATTCTCCTGAAATTAAGATTAAAATGTATAAATATATGCGTATGTTTTTATTAGAATGTATAATGTATATGAGTGTTTCCGTTTTTTAATATTATTCAACAACCAAACTTTGTAAATAATTGTATACGAGTGTTGTCTAAAGTTTTAATTCACRTTAAAATTCATAATGGATTGATTATAAAGAATGATTTGTTGATTTTAAAAATAGATTAGTTTTAAATTGTACTATGTCCTTCTGTTTCATTCTTAAAAATGTTAAGTTTTTATAAATACAAAAGAAAGCATGATGAATCGGTGACTCGTGTTTTTTCAAACTCATCGGCTGCGTCTACGTTATTTGGCACAGTTACAACTTCTGGCAACATTGGATATGAGGGTTTGGGCCATTAAAATTTTAACATTTCGGTTCGATTCGTGCTGTGTCGGCTGGTGGCCTGTGCCAGAGGTGGAAATTAGCTAGAAAGACGGTTCTAACGTATTATTACTACACAAATGTATAAACAGTCTGTTCCGACGCGAGTAACCGTTCGCATCATTTTACATCTACGCGCGTTCGTGCCACGCGCACACAAGTTACTTGATATGATATTTCTCTGATGGTTACTATATCATGAATTCATGATATTAAAATGTCATCATATTGCCGTATTACTGGAAAGAGCCGTGGTTTGCCAAAACCGAATTATTTCYCATTGCTACCACCTATATCGCCGGCAGATGCAAAACGTTTCTGTCGCATAACTGGAAAGTCATATGGGCTGCCTGCACATCATTATATACCAGTGTTAGTTGGACGAAAAAAAACAAAATCTGATCCTAAACATGTAYTGATAAATGGATATCGGTATGTATTTCCAATAATAGATGGATGTTTAGAGTTATCAGATGTATTAAAAACGAAGAGCACGGATGATCGTAGGTATGTGTACGCGGTGGATAAGCGTAGATGTAGTCTCGTATTTCCAACCAGCTTAGAAAATGCGGTTAGAGATGGAGATGTCAAAGATGTCATGATGTCAGAAACCAAAGACACCGTTCTTCTAAAGCTGCGTAAAGGTAAAACCGTAGAGTTAGAAATCAAAGACATGGAAGTAGCTGGAGTGATGTTGATGGAAGGCGAAGGGTTTCGGAACAGACCCAAACAGAAAAAGCCTATCAAAGAAGATTGGAGAAGGAAAATATTTGAAGACAAAGAAAAAGAAAGTGACGCTGAACTAGAACAGGAAGAATTTAAATCAAAACGGATAACATTTTTAGCAGGTCAGGGAAAACAAATAGAACCTATTGAATCTACACCAAAAATTATGAATACAAAATCTTTAAATGTTTCAAAAGTAAAAAATATTGTCAAACCAATAACAAAAAATATAATACTCGGGCAAAACAAAAATAATTTAAAACTTCAAACCCACATATTACCCACTCCAATATCAATTGAACCAAATGTCATAAATCTCGGTTCTGCATTTCCTGGTGTTATACATCAGACTTTTCTTAATGAAACTACTCTTACTAATTTACCAATCGTTCCGGTAATATCRCCAATAAAACCTTTGATAAATAATTTTAATAAACTCCCAATGATTTTGCCTGATATAGAATCATGTGCAATTGAAGACATATTAATTGAAGATAATATAAAGAAATTATTAACTATTAAAGAAATTAATTTATTCATTGAAAATATTCAAATGGGTTCTCAAAAAAATATTTYTACAAGTCAAGGAACAACTAAAATATTTAAATTAGATATTAACAATGCTGAAAGATATGTACCAGGACAATATGTAAAAACTGAAGACGGTGAAAAATTTGTACCTGGCAAAATTATTGACACAGCTAATGGAAAACGATTTGTGCATGGTGTTATTGTCCAAACATCAGACGGACCAAAATTTCTTCCTGGACAAATTATTGAAAATTCTGGAAAATCTATATTCGTTGTTGGTCAAAATATTGTAACACGAGAAGGAGAATCATTTGTTCCAGGACAAACGATTAAAATAGATGGTGAGACTAGATTTGTGCCYGGACAAACAGTCATTACTCCTGAAGGTATGGGTTTTGTGGCTGGACAAGTAGTCAACAATGGTRACGAATCACATTTTATCCCTGGACAGACCATAATYACTATTCATGGGCCACAATTTCTACCAGGGCAGTTTTGGAATGACGAAAACGTTGAWTTCATACCTGGACAAAGTGTTTTAAAAAATAATGGTGATTGGGAATTTGTTCCCGGTGTTTGTGTTGGATCTTCTTTCATACCCGGATTAACAGTTGTTGAAGAAGATAAAAAAGAATTCATTCCAGGAAGAATTGTAGAAACTAATAATGATACTGCTTTCATACCAGGTATAACAACTTTAGATAACAATGGAAATACAAAATTTGTTCCTGGAATAAGTATTGAAACAGAAAATGGAATAAAATTTGTATCTGGAAATATTTTATCAGATAATAATGGAAATAAACAGTTTATTTTAGGACACGTGACAAATTCAGAAAATGGTGAAATAAACTTTACAGAAGCCAAGTCATTACAGGAAGTTGTTTGTTCTGATGAAGTACAATCAGGAATTTTAACAAACGATTCATTTTATCCAAAAGGTGAGAAATCTGATGAAGTTTTTGGACAGATGGTACAAACCGCTTACGGAGTAGAATTTTATCCTGGCGATCATGTGGGTTTACCAGCTGGAAAMATWGTTCCAGGAAAATTAATACGAAACAATGGTATTAGATTTGTTCCGGGTGTTGTAGTCGATGACAAATTTATACCAGGACAAAAAGTGGTAACAGATAGAGGAGAGCAGTTTGTACCCGGACAAGTGATTGAAACTCAAACGGGTCCCAAATTTGTGCCTGGGCAAGTTGTAGAAACAGAAACTGGTACAAAATTTGTTCCTGGGCAGACTATTGAAACCAAAGATGGAATAAAATTTGTACCTGGTCAGATAGTWGAAACAAAAGCAGGTCCAACGTTTATACCAGGTCAAATAATATTTACAGAAGAAGAAGGATCTAGATTTGTACCAGGTCAAGTTGTTGATACAATAGAGGGGCCGCGATTTGTACCAGGAAGAGTTATAGAAACTGGAGATCGTGTAACTTTTGTACCGGGCCAAATAGTGGAAACCACAGAAGGTTTGAAGTTTATTGCACCGGATCTTCAAGATGCAGATGATGGTGGCTGTGAGTTTAGTGTCCAAGGATTTGAAGTGTCACCAGAAGAACTACAAGTTATTCAACCCAGTTTTCCTCAAACTTCGTATTATACACAAAATGGTAAAATGGCTCTAGATTCAAAAATGTTGGAACAATTATCATTTGCAGGAATGAGTATAGGAAGACAAGTTCCTGCAGAACTTCCAGCAGTTGATGTAAGCACACTTCCTTCAATGGAAGTGGCATATGACGTTGCAGAGAAATTGGAACTTAATAATGATAATACAATAAAATTGGCACATATAATTAATCGATTATGTAAGCTAGATTTAAAAAATACRTATTATGGATCACCGTTAGTACAAAACTTAATAAACAAACTGCCTCAAATYAAATCGAACGAGAATGTAGCTGAAGTTATTGAAAATATACTCAAAACTAATAAATCGAGTCCTATAACAGCTTTAAATGAAATCTACGTAGTTATATTTGATGATGGTTTTGTAATGGATTTAAAAAATCCAAATAAAGTCAATATTTTAAAGGAAATAATGAATAATTCTGAACTTGAATCTAATTATATTTCTGAAGCATTTAGTGAAATTTTGAATGATTCGGAAGACTCTAAACTACGCTTAGCATTTGAACACATAGCAGAAAATAATATAGATTTATTAAAAGAAGTAAAGTTAAAAATTGATATGAAAAAAATTAACAGTGAAAAAGAAGCAACTGAAGCATTACAGCGGGCAATCATTAGTGTCATTAATAAAACCAGTGAAATAACTGTTAATCAAATGTTAAAAGACAATAAAAGTGAACAATTCAATCGATTGTTATCTGATGCCGTCGGTCTTGCTAAAGCATTAGGTCTGAAAGAAGTAGTTTCAGTACTTATGGATGTTCTAGATGATCGAAGATCAGCTGATATATTAGCATCAGATAAAATAACAATAGAGATACTAAGAAGATTAACCGTAATGAGGAAACTTGCTGAAAGACGGCCAGAGTTCAGTGAAACCTTAAGCGGGATGTCGGCTGAYCCAATTGAAGCTAGATTGGATCCCAAATTACGTGAACTGGTTAGAGAAAGCGGAGTTTTATTACTTCCTCCAGAAACAAACGTTGAAACATCTTTTGATGTCCCAGCTGAATTATTTAGTCCAGGGAATAGCTTAGCAATGGAAGATTTTATGGTGAAATCAAGGAAAATGGGAATTTTACTAATAATTAAAAATGGTCTTCAAGCTGTAGTACCACGAGAAGCAGCCAGATCAGTTTTAACAGGACAGGTTCCATACACAGTTTTAGATGAAAAAGGCATTCACAGATTTGAACCAATGAATGTACTAGATGCTTTAAACATTCGTGTATTTACTTCAGGAAGATATTCAATGTATAATTGTGCTATACAAAAAACGCTAACGGAAGATGAGGGAACCATTACTCGTGGTAGTTCAATTAGTTTGGATGATAAACAATTAAMAATTGCAGAGGTTAAATATTAGACTTTAGATTAGTTATTTAAACTAACAATTTGTTATAAACCCAACTAAATATATATAATTACGATTTTTACAGGGTGGTGGAGACGAATATGAAGTTCTTCAAGATTATGAAACAGAACCAGTTGATGGTGCTGACGAGGAAGATGATTTGATTTTGGAACCTGGTGACAGAGTTGTTGTATTAAAACAGTCCAAAGATGACCCGTCGATGTAAGTTCATATGTACAAAGTCAAACTTAGTAGCTACTAGTTAACTATTACTTTTTAAATTTTTAATATTAGTTAAAAACCTTTTTATAACATAATATATTGTAAAGTACAAATAAAGATATTCTAAATTTAAGTATCTTGGTCAATCGATATTAAGATTTTTACGTAACAATAAAAGTCCATTTAGCAGCAGTTATTACATATTACTGGAGTATATATGTATTAATGTACTCGAGTTTGTTGATGAAAAAAATGAACTGTTTTTTTTTTTTTGGCGAGTACGCATTGTCCGCAGACATTACAAATTGAGTTTATTATTTTGAAGTTGAGTGACTTGAGGCCGAATGGACATCCTATAATTAGAGAATTTCTGGCAAAGTTTTTCAAACTGTCAAATCATGATTGGTCTACCGAATACTGTTCCTATGAAGGCCAATGTTGTTTTCCGTGCAGGGACTTAAGCGTTCTTTACATATAATTTGTTATCAGGGGCGCCGAGGTTAAACGAAATTTACTGTTGGACAATGCAGCGGCCAAACATAAAATGTCAGTACGACCAAATAAAGTACATCCAACCAAACACAAACCTTTGGATACAGATGGGTAAAATATGTCCATATATTGAAATATCTGGCTTACGGTGCTAATAATATATGCTTGACGCTGCTTTTTGCACCTACTTAAAAGACTTCGATGTTACGCTTTATTSTATCAATATTATAGCATAGAAATCAAAATGATTGCTTTGTTTTAGATATATTTAAAATATTTAGAAATAACAAAAAATAAATAAATAACAAATGCTTTTCTGTAGTTTATTTGTTTTATAATACATTTTATACATAGAATATGAATACTACAATTTATACGTTATAATAATATATATTGTAGTAACCTATATTTTWATTAATACATTTTTACTTCTCGAAATCAGAAACTTAATAACTATTATCTAGTCTATTAATAAGTTCTTTATATTAAATATATACAATTCAAATTACTTCAATTTCATCTKTGTGAAAAGGCTGAAATGAAATATGTTAGTTTGGTGTTTAATTTCAACTTAGATACATAACTATTAACTAGATAGGTACCTACCATCTGTCTACAACTTATTATTGATAATCTTATATATTATTGAACGTTTCAATTATTTTGAACACTGTATAAAATCACGGTATATTTATTTGGAAAATTTTGTTGTTTTATGATTTCAATACAACTTAATTATTATAGGTAATTTTGAATAGATTGTTATTATTTAATATAGTTAATTTAAGAAACTAAAGGTTTTTTTTTAAATATGTTTTAAAATGTTAAATATTATTATAAATTATAATATGTAACAATTATTGTTAACTATGAAAAAATAAGATGAGAAAATTTGAATGTTTATTTTCAATCCATTTAATTTCTATACTGTATACCTTTATTAAAATCTAAGTGTACCTATATGTTACCTATGACAAAAAAAAAAAAAAAATTATGTATCATAATATGGACAAAATTATACTTACACGAACTGCTATTTGCTATAAATTATTTTAGCATAAAAACTTATTTAAAAATATTTAAATTATCTAGTTAAAAAGAAATAGTTAATAGATATTAATTAAATACTTCTCTGTAACTACTTATATTTTACATAAGTATCAATTTTTGTAACTTATTAGTTAAATATGCTTTCAAACCAAAACATTGTAAAAAAACGTAATTTAAGAACAAAAAAAAAATGTAATTGTATATAAGTAAATCAAAATGATTTGTTCGGTACAATTAAAAAATACTTTAAGTTCATATGTAATTATTTTGTTGAAATGTTTATTTAGTTTTATACATAGAAAACAATTTATATGAGCATCTATAACATTTTCTTGCTGAACATGACTTGGCATCAAAAATCGTTATTATGTGGTCTAAATAATTATTATTTGTAGTATAATATTATGTTGGTCAACTTATGTAGGCAATGTAATATTGTAATATACAAAACCGTTGGGTGGTAGAACGGTACTTGAACATAGGAATCAAACATCAAACGCTTTATCTTCGGTACTTGTTATTTACCAAAGCAAAAAATAGGTCACTTATTTATAAAAACTTAAGACAAAATAAATGACATATTTAAAATATGCTACATATTAACACTAAAAAATTAAGATTATAAATATATATTAAATAAAATTTGTTTTTATTTATTTATAAATCGTTTTTAAATAATACCAATATATTTGACCAAGTATAAATGATTTTTAATTACTATACAAGATGTATTTGATACAATATGCAGCTGTTATTAAATACATTTTTCGTTGTTAGCAAATAGGAATAAACGATTAATGAGTTATTAAATGCAACTTCATAAAAAACAACTATAAATCCTAGTGACAAAAAAAAATTGATGTTTACGGAAGAGATAGTTAAATTGTTGTATCGTAAAGATAGTTAAAATTCACAAAAATGTATGTTATGTTAATTCATATACCTACGTAGAAACAATATATAATAATATATACATTGTATTGTTATAATGTTATGTATACATGTATAAATCATCTATACTGCTGTCTGTAGTATTTTCAATAGAAAATAGAAATTTACTTAAATAATGAGAAAATGGCCCGTATTTGATAAATGTTTTCATGAGTAAATTATGCATCCAAGTAATGTTAATTTCCATAATATTATCAATGCCACCATCAGTTTTTTCTTGGTGGGGTGGGGGGAGAGGATTCTAGGTATAAAATTGTGATTCGTCATAAACATTGTGATCGTAATTAAAAACCTAATATCGCTATAGACATATAGTTAAAATAATGATTTATTGATATTGTAGGTTACTATCAAATTTAAACTTTTAAAACCATAAGTTACACATTTAATTTTACAAATTATTAAAATTATCTACGTAGACTGTGGTTGATTCGTACAGTAAAAAATACCACCATAAATCAAGTTTAATTTCATAGAAAATAAATTGATTCATTCAACGCCGTAAATGAAAAAATATTTTGAGGGGGGTCTAACATTTTTTAAAATATAGATAGTTAGATACTGAACACTTGTGAATTACCTAACCGCTAAAATGTTCCTATTTTTAAAAATTTTGAGGGAACGTCCGGACTCCTGGACCTTCCCACCAGTTACGGCATTGATTTCATTGTGGTTTTAAGTTTAACAACCAAATTTAAAAACACGTAAATAAGTTGWGATATGTACAATTCCGATTTCATAGATATTAAATTTGAAAAATKTACAATACCATAAAGGATATTTTGGCAAAATAATTTTTTATATTGTTTACATATAATAGTAAAATAATCATGAAGTGAAATAAATAACCAATCAATGTTTTTACAATGTTAAGGATTATTGTTTTCCGAGTGATAATAAATTAATCGAAATAACAATAGTAAATTTCAACATAACCTAGTTTTTCACAGTTTTTCTGATGACCAGCAGATTATTTATAAAATTACCTTTCTAAAGGCATGTTCAATGACGGAGTCATAATTAAGTTATCAAAATATGTATAAATATTAAACGACTATCAAATATACATTTTAAACTTATAGATTTGGGCAACAGTAATTCTTCTGATAAAATAATATTAAAGTTATTAGTTTATATTCTTAACGTAATAAATTTAATTCTAAATTATTTGCATCCAAATTAAAAAATACAATATACAGTATGCTGCATAATTAACATGTCCAATGTTCATAAATAATTTAAAACTTTAAAAGTTTATAATAATTTCCTCGAATATTATAAGATATATTTTCAAGACATCAATGTTTTTTTTATTTATGCCACTTCGATGTAGAGTTTTAACTAAATTAACTTAAATCAAGTTGTTAAATAAACAAGTCAATGGTATTACACTGGAAATTAATCATATACCATAGTAATGTAGGATTGCTGTGGCACTATTAGGATTTAATAGTTCGTAAAAACCAAATGAACCAATAAACGTACTTTTTGTTTTTTATAAAACGCCCACCAAAAAGGCATTTTATCTTTAGGAGTATTGCCAGATAAATTTTCTAACAAAATGTTTACTTAACATACATGAGTGATGAGTCCTAGTGCTTATTGCATATACAAAATTATAGGTACTTAAAAATAAAGTTTGGTGTTTAATAAACAAAATTATGTTAAAAAATATGTGTAACGTATTTTAAATGACAAAACTGTCAACTATAACAGTGTATGGCTTAAATAATGTTTCAAATGACTTTGTATTAGCTTGTTCAGTGTTGTAAATAATTACTTATAATTATACGATATATTAAATATCGCATATATATTATACATGTATTTTATGCAATGTAAGCTCCCCTAAAAAATGAAAAAGTAATTTTCCCCTAAAAACATTTTGCTACTGTATTACAATTTTTGTAAATTCCCAAGTGATACAATACAACACGTGATTGTACCTATAGTTGTTTCAAAAGCGCATGACGATTAAGTAAAAGAATATGATTAGATTAGATATAAATATTATATGACCATAAATTGCTGTTTGATWTAAAAAAAACTAATATTTGTTAAAATATTAATTATATACACTATACAGTTTAAATATTTAATAAATATAAAATAAAATAGGTATTTACACCACACATTACGATAAAAAATACAACAAAAATAAAAAATTTAATGAATATATTTTATTCTGATTTAAGAAATTGTTTGCGGAAATATTTTGTTAATTGATAAATGCTTAATTCTAATTTACCGATATTCTTAACTTAACTTAATTATTTTCTTTAGTTTTCTCACCTTCGAAATAAGTGTAATACTGTAGCAAAATGTTTTTAGGGGAATTTAAGTTAATATAATACGGTTAGGGGAATCTACAAAATTTTAGGGGAGTTTATATGCCCATTTCATGCTTAATATTATAGTTCCATGATCTTGCTTTTATCATTTTTTTTGTTTACATTAATAAATTATAATGTATTAATATTTTTTATTGTTGATTCAGGTCATTGGTTCAAAGTCTTGAAGAACCAACTAAAATGGGATATGTACCTAATAGCATACTTAAAAAAATACCGACTCCTGTTAGAGCGACTGCTGTGGTTCCAGCAGACGGACAAACATTATCAAAAAAAGATGCAAAATTTAATAGAGAGTAAGATAGCTATTTAAAAAAATATTTTTACAGGCATACGATACATCAGATATCGGCTCTATACTCAATTTACATAAATTTATTTCGTTCATTCCAGTACCTATATATAGACATTATCCATATTGTATAATTACACCTAGGCAATCAGTTGATCAGTCATGACTCAACCAAATAAATTCTTCTCAATAAAAAGAGAAACTATAGCAAAAAATAAAATGATGATTGGTCATTACTCATTAATAACAAATAAAATAAACATATTTTGAAATTTTAATTACAGTTTTAAAATTAAATTGTATTTATCTAATATAATTTAAATTAAATAACCCTAAGACACGTATAACATACCTACATTTTTATAAAGCTTTCAAAGTGTGAGGATTTATCCAAAGAATAGCTTCCAAATCAAAATATACCTTTGATATTCCTATTTTGCTCCTTAGATCTCCAAATACTATAATAAATTATGTATTCAACATAAATTGTTACCTATATGCATTTTTTTTACCTTCTAAATATACCTTGCCCGGTCTCAATGTCTCATACAGTCATACTACCAACAATAAAATTGTCTATCCTTACTGACTGCTGAAAACCAATATCACACACCAAGTCCGAACCCAACTTTTTAAATGGCCTAAATGTTTATCAATTATTCACATTGTTATCTGCAATTAATTTTAGAATCCATCCGACATCCCTGTTGTATATGAACTTATTTTCTATTGTTTATTTCGTTTTCTTTATCAATCTACTTTAGCGAATGCTCTTTCATATTAAGGACCTAACTTTTGAATTTTGATTCTACATTTTTTTTCCTTAGGCCTTTAGCTTTATTAGCAATAATTTTACCATGTTTTCATTTAATTTGAGTTTAGGCATATTTTGAAATAAAAATCGAATAATTTTATTTAATTTTAGAAAAAATGAAAGCCTAGTATAGATTAAAAAAGATTAAAAGTACAATATACTTAATAGGCTCAGATTTTTATAAAAATAAGAAATAGGTAATTGTATTTTAAAGAAAAATGTTATTCACACATGCCTATTATTATTTAATTATTAAACATGATAAATTTATAATTTATTTCTATGATTAACCTTTTTTATAGCGTGGTACTCGCAGAATTAGTAGAAACTGAAGAAGAATTTGGTCAAGATATTCAAGAAGTGGTAGAAAGATATTTAAATCCTCTAGAATTAAATGACGCACCAAGAATAGTGAGGGATAATAAAGATCTTATATTCAACAATTTAAAACAAATATCACAGTTCCATAATACGTATGTTATTTAAAACAAATCAATAATAAATTACTAATTAACATACATAATCAATTTAATGAATTGTTTGTTTTTATATACAATATCATAGAGTTCTCATTGCTGGATTAAAATATGCAGCTAGCGAACCAAAAACTATGGGCAGAACATTTCTTCGTTTAGTAAGTGCACCTATATTAAATCAATATTTGAGATTATATAAATTCTTTGTCTAGTTACTAATAAATTAATTTGGCAGAAAAAAAAATCTGACTAGATAWTATTATTATGTATGAAGTACGGACACTGTATACGACTATACGAGTATATGTAAATACAGGCCTAAACATTTGGTATTTTYGTATTGGGTTTCGTCTTGACCAGCTTACCTTTGTAAAAAGTATTGCTGTGTTCTGTATGTCATTATATATAATGTTTAATTTAAATGCATTAATAATTAATTATGAACGCCATCCGTATGCTTTGTTGTTCTAACAAAAAAAATGTTTAAAAAAAAATAGTCTACATTCGTATTGGAATTTTTAAAAATTGAAATTATATTTAAAACGCACGTTGTATCTTCTAGAGTAATACATTTAAACCTACGATTGAAAAATATACCTATAGTAGCTGTCGATTGTCGAGTGYTACTGTAATGTCATTTTAATCAGTAATCACTAATGCATGTGTTAAATTTGAAGTCTATTATAAATCAATGCATATGAAAAACAATTCTGAGCCAAAACGTTGTGCCAGCCTCTATTTCACATTTACTTTTTTCAATTTATTCATATTACCAATAGAAGATTGAACTAGGAAGATTTCAATTGTAAGTTGGRCAGTTCCAAAAATAAATCACACATAATTTCTTATTACCTACTTCTAAGTATAATATTACTGGCTAAATATTGACTTATTACTTGTTAGTTTTAAATCAATACCGACGAAACGTAGAATGAAGTAAATATAGGTTTACGTCTGATTGTATAAATAGTTTTATATATATAGAATKTATAGATGGATAGAAGATAGATAATCAATCTACTAAAAAGCGGGAAAGTGAATATTGCTCTGCTGTACAGTTGTAACCTACTGTTAAAAAAAAGCGGGTAAGTCGTGTATGTCGCTCTGCTGTACAGTAGGTTACAAGT